TAACCTTGGAAGCCGCCTTGTTGTGTACAAGATCGCCGACTACCGGTCAGAGTGCAAGCAAACTGAAGTGACCACGATAGAAACTTGGCAGCAGGCAAACACCTTCCTCCACAGGTAGTAGCTAGAGATCATCAACACGTAAATATACCAATGAGCGTATAAGAAGTCTTTGCAACTTGACTACTTAATCCTTCCTACGATAAGAAGTGCCCTCAGTGAGACGAGCGCGACCACCAGTAGGCTGACAGAGCATCACGTTGCAGTTACCGCAAAGGACGACAGTCTGAGCGTGCCTGAAATACGACAAAAGTTCATCTATAGCCATCAAATTTATTGCTCAGACGCCGACATCAACGAGCACAAATAGCACATAGTGCTAGGATGCACTTACACCGGGCCACGGGAAAAGTTACTCTACAAAGGACAAGACCCGATATTACGAAAAGACGGTAGTGATCTGTGAGCAACCAGGGCACTTGACATCCATGAAATAGGAGTTGGGGGATTGTACCAAGCGCTTTAGCTTATGCTTGGACTTCTCAAGTTCGGGATCGGGATGGAGGAGATCGACGTTCATGGCAACAATGTGGCGGGCTACTACTTCAACAATGACAACATGACATACTCAACGATCTACAATCATCAACTTCTCCACCCTTATAACCAAGAATGCACATAACTGTGTCCATCGACACTGAATCATCACCAGAAGCACTGCTACGCGGGGCTTAAATGGGTGAAAGTCAGGCAGCAAAGGAGGAAGGGAAGAAAACTCACTAATCGATTTTCGCTATAGTATTTGCGTCCGCCATGGTGATCGATTTGGCCCATTGCAAGAAGCGACTTGCTAATTGCTACGACATTCGACGCTTTTAATCTCCTACTTAACGAGTGTTACTCTCGCGAGGCAGTTAAGACTCGTATCTGTGCATTATCTTCCGCCACATCCGTTGGGTATAACATTCGTTGGTCCTTACGATCAGGCCGCACTCTTGGAGGGTTGGCCGGTGCGGCATCACGTGCTAGTGAACCGTTCGAATTCGAGCTTGTTGAACTGCTCCCGGCTCTCAAGAGTCATCGAGCCATGCTTGGCAGCGAAGTTCATGTCTTCCCTATCCCGCGATAGCCACTGCTCGACTTGCAGTAATGACATAGGGTGAAGAGTTCTCGGCTGCCGTTGCTCTTGCTTGTGAGCTTCCTTCTCAACGTAGAAGAACTCCTCCATATATTTATGCCGTAGTTCAGCCGCAGATGCTTTGGGGAATTCCAGCCTAAGCTTGCTGAAGATCCTCGACATCTCGGAATTGACCTCGTGCAGAACTGAATAGTTATCAGGTGTAGAGGAGGCAGCTTTCAGTCGAATCCGCTTCGCAAAATCACCACTATTATTTTCTCTAGTAGGTGAAATGAACAATTGAGGAACCTGAGGAACTGTGTGGCCATAGTCGATATCGGATGTCATGCCTACCGCATCGTTATCATCCATCGAGGAATCAGAGCTGCCTTCGTCAGGATCCTTCTCGATCGCCTCCACATCACCCTCTCCATTCTCTAATCGAGCATCTCGAGAAAGCCCGCCACGCCCTCAGGTCTATTCTTCTGGACCTCTTGCAAGTCTACTGGAAGATCATCGAGCGATAAGCAATACTCATATCCAAGCTTCGGTAGTTCGTAGTCCACCGAAGCGAGACGGAAGTCCTCGTAGCACTCTTGAACAACCTTCGAACCGAGAGCCTCCACTGATCGGGGAGTAAGGGATTCATTAGGCACCTTCAAACCAAGCCTCATGCAGGCTCGACGATTATGTCGATGCAGCAACCAGAGTAGTCTTAGGTTGTACAAGTAACAGCTAACACGGCTCGAAGATGCATACGCCTTCGCCATCTGGGAATGAAAATTTTCGCAACCGGAGCTCCCACGAGCGCAGCGATGGGTGTTCAACTTCAGAGTGCTCGATCCTCTGTAAGCAGCCTCTCCCGTCTTCATAGCGTGACTCTGCTCTAGACAATCTGAGAGACATCCTCTGTCCATGTGTCTCCACTGCGTTTCCAAAACAGAGTAGAAACGACTCGTCAATAGGGGAGCGAATCTGGTCCCAGGTGGAGGATTCTCCAACTGCCATCCGCCAGCTCCCGCCTCAGCTAGCTTACGTCTATCATCATATGCTTCCCACTCTTGCAAAGCAGCTGCATCACGTTCAGCATAGACCTCCACCACCGTGGTTATGCGCTCTCTGAGCTCCTTCGGAGGAGGTATCCGTCGAAAGATATACTTAGTGCGCTCGTGCTTGGTAGGTGGTCCCAAGATCCCCAAAGCAGCACGTGCGCTCATCAAAGCATGACAGTCGCTGGAATTCTCGATGAATATGGCCTTTTGCAGGTCGTTCTTGAACTTATTGCAGAGAACATGTTGCAGAACGACTTCTCGATTCAGGCGCTGCTGTAGATGGAAACTATCTAAGCGTACCATCATGCCATCTGGTATTATATCCCTCAATCCAGAGGAGCCACTGAGCTCAGTATCGGACTGGCTACAACAATTATTATCACAATACAGTAGCTTGGGAGTGTCCACGCCAGCTGCCTCGTGTCGCCGGAAGATTTCATGTAGAGCGGGCTTGATGTATCGCACACTGGTAGTGGGAGTCAGATACGACCTCAGTATGATAGAATAGTCTGTCATTATCGTCAAGCTTTGCCCGAGCCTGTGAGTCGCGATACACTTCTTAGCACACTTTCGGGTATGGTCAAGGCTGAGACTATGAGTCCCCACATGACCAGCCAATTCCCGAAGGAGATGATCTCCCTCTAGAGACAAATCTCGCAAGGCAATGCTCAGCACCAGATTCCCCGATATTCCCAAGGCTTTTGAGGAAGTGATTCCCTTTCTGGTACCGTCAAAAAAGGGCACTTGGTTGACATCTCCCACTTCTCCTCGTATGCACGCAAGCGCGAGCTGTATGCCCTCTCCAATGTCGACGTCAGATAAGTAGCAGTTTGGGAAATACGGCCGTTATTCATCAGGATATTTTGTATATACAAGACCACCTCCATATCCATCCCCTTCCCCGTACCACACAATAGTGGAAGCTTCATTTGGGTAGCCATGTCAAGCGTCTTGACAAATTCTGTATTCCAGGAATACCAAGAGGTTTTGCAAGGAACGCATTCCAATCGGGTACATAAGGCCAGATACGGATAGCCCATACGGTATACCATTTTCACCCTCGATAGCCGTCCAGGATGTCGGATGTCAATACTGGAACAATACGGACATCGTCCTCCTCGAGGCGCCCAGACCAAATCATATGCAAAGACCTCGGAAGCTTTCGGAAATGATTGCTTCTCCACGATTCCCTCCCAATTTGGTCTCCAGAACCATTTTAGTACATTAATCTCTCCAACATCAGATAAAGATGTGGATAGGGAGTTGGGGAATGCATGATCAGCAGCTTGCCGTCCCCCCGTCTCAGAAACGGACACTTGAACTCCAACATCACAACCGTTCCGTGTTCTTGTAGCAGGATCATTGGATTGGAGTTCTCCTGAGAAGCATTCGGAAGCTATTCGATAGAGTCTGCTACCTTTGCGAGGAAAATACGGCTGTTCAGTCGGGGGTTCTGGCCGCTGGTGATACCAGCGTAAACACAGAGTAAACCCACATATGATTTCTTGAAATGAATTCAGTAGTGTCACCTATCACCCTTATGTAGAGCACTTGCCTAGCGGTTGAGCCTAAAAACTAACAGTCTAGACACTTTAGCCGAGTGGTTAAGGCGGCGGCCTGCTAAGCCGTTGGGCTCTGCCCGCGGGAGTTCGAATCTCCCAGGTGTCGTTGCAAGAGTTAAACATTGCGTTTCGCGGCTTTTGTGGAGCATCCATATTAAACGGATGAAGCCGAGAACTCACATGAAACGATAAAGATCGAGATACTTTGGTCGAGTGGTTAAGGCGGTGGGCCGTCAAGCCACTGGATTTCACCCGCGGAAGTTCGGATCTTGCTGGTGTCGTTGTACGTAGCCTTTCCTGCCGCAGGGCCTCACCACACACGAATTTGGAAATTCCTCACGTCTCAGGATCGGAACAGCTAAAGGCAGTAAAATTTGGCAAACATTGCAGGTCCTAGGCGTCCGACTCATGCTACTTCTTTAGATTTCACCTGGGAGCGAATCTGAGGGGAGGCCTCCGCTGCATAATCCACCGGTTCGTACGAAGCACCCCACTCCCCATGGACAAAGTTGGATAGCTTGGAATAGCAGCTCGTGGCCCTTAACATTGCGCTGGGGGAAGCGGGGACGAATCCAATGGACGAAAACGCTCTTGACAGAATTATATTCAACCCAATTTTCCCCATGGTCATTCGACAGTCTGCTCTTAAGTTGAGTTGCCTATGGTTGTCGCATCAGCGTGACTATCACGGTCGTAGTATGACCTGTTCTCAAAACGTTCAATATCCATGAGTGGAATTAGACTAGTCCCGGAGGGGGTCGAACCCACGACCTATGGCTCATAAGACCATCGCTCTAACCACTGAGCTACAGGACCGTGAAGACCCAGGCTTGGGAATCTTTCATGGTTAAGATGTGTTGATACCTCGACTAAAACGTGCGTTCTACGGTATCACTTCACACCATACGACAACCGTCCAGTCCTGGCACAGGCTGACCGCATGACCTATGATCACCCGCATTTACATACCCCAGCTCATCGTCGCGTCCATCGCCTTTGAACAACCACCGCCTGACGCGAGCACTAACCTATGCATGACTAACTCTGCTCCGCCCGGGGTCTAGCTGGCACACCCGTTGAACTTGCCAACAACTTCTCTCTCAAAATTCCACAACAATATCTCACCGCCATGATCCAAGGAGTTATCCGCGAGGTGTGGTAATATAGGGGCTGATGGTTCCGCACAAGTGAACATGAAGAGAGGCGTGTCACCGTGTTGCGCATTCAGAATGACGAGGATGCCGGCTCTCAGATGTCCCTGGCTCTGCCTTGGAGTGGGACTTGGATTTTGGGAGCTGGTGATACCAGCGTAAACACAGAGTAAACCCACATATGATTTCTTGAAATGAATTCAGTAGTGTCACCTATCACCCTTATGTAGAGCACTTGCCTAGCGGTTGAGCCTAAAAACTAACAGTCTAGACACTTTGGCCGAGTGGTTAAGGCGGCGGCCTGCTAAGCCGTTGGGCTCTGCCCGCGGGAGTTCGAATCTCCCAGGTGTCGTTGCAAGAGTTAAACATTGCGTTTCGCGGCTTTTGTGGAGCATCCATATTAAACGGATGAAGCCGAGAACTCACATGAAACGATAAAGATCGAGATACTTTGGTCGAGTGGTTAAGGCGGTGGGCCGTCAAGCCACTGGATTTCACCCGCGGAAGTTCGGATCTTGCTGGTGTCGTTGTACGTAGCCTTTCCTGCCGCAGGGCCTCACCACACACGAATTTGGAAATTCCTCACGTCTCAGGATCGGAACAGCTAAAGGCAGTAAAATTTGGCAAACATTGCAGGTCCTAGGCGTCCGACTCATGCTACTTCTTTAGATTTCACCTGGGAGCGAATCTGAGGGGAGGCCTCCGCTGCATAATCCACCGGTTCGTACGAAGCACCCCACTCCCCATGGACAAAGTTGGATAGCTTGGAATAGCAGCTCGTGGCCCTTAACATTGCGCTGGGGGAAGCGGGGACGAATCCAATGGACGAAAACGCTCTTGACAGAATTATATTCAACCCAATTTTCCCCATGGTCATTCGACAGTCTGCTCTTAAGTTGAGTTGCCTATGGTTGTCGCATCAGCGTGACTATCACGGTCGTAGTATGACCTGTTCTCAAAACGTTCAATATCCATGAGTGGAATTAGACTAGTCCCGGAGGGGGTCGAACCCACGACCTATGGCTCATAAGACCATCGCTCTAACCACTGAGCTACAGGACCGTGAAGACCCAGGCTTGGGAA